ATGGGAATCCCATTACAAACGCTGGCTATCCACCCCAACTCGTTGGAAACAACGGCGACAGCGTTCCAACTTAACAATCGTCTTACAGGAGCTACCCTCGAACTGTTTTTCTATGGCTATCGAATCAGAAAGGTGGCAAACCGTCTGTTTGTGGCAAACATAGAACAAGCAGAGAATCTAACGCCCAACCGTACATGGAACCTCCATATCATTCTCAACAACGTTATAAGAATCATAACAGACTCCCTCCTTAGACCCCACTGATCTGGTTATGGTTATCCTCAAGCATACGTTCCATCCAGTGTAAGGAGGCGCCAAAACTGCCTACGGGAGTAACGTAAAATCCAGCATGAACGAAACTTGCTCGTTCATCAAGACCTCAAGAACCATCCTACGGCAGGATGATATCGTGGCTGGCAAGTTGCTAACGACTTGACGCCAGTGATGAGTGGCGAAAAATCGGACAGTATTCCAAGGTGCCAAACAAATACGTAATAGACGATCCGACAAGAATTCCTCTCGGGTTCCATTCGGCCCATAAGCACTGGGTAACCCTAAGCAAAAGACGGGCGATCCACATCAAGACTGGACACCAATTGCACAAGCGGCGATACAAAGTAACCTCAGCTTGAGACCGCGGCTTCCAAAACGAAGCGGTGGACCACATCATCAAGCAATGCGAATCAAGGAAATTTCGAGAAAGGAATCGGCACATTGCATTTCTGGCAACTGGTTCCATCACCTGGGTGCCAAAATCAGATTTCGAATTATAGCCGTTGCTGTCATGTGCAAGAAAAGGATCATTTTTTCATTTATTAATTAATAATTTGAATGGAAATCACTTGTAGACGGCTTTCTGTTCGCACTGTGTGTGAAAGGGAGGTTGATAAGATTTATTGATCAGCTCAGTTATTGGTTAACCATTTGAAAAGCACTTTCAAAAGAGCTTTTCTGTGTGACTTAATTATTTGACTAATTTGTCAATCTTCTATTGGAAAGTAGTGCTTCAAATGCACTGTCACTTACCTTGAGCACAGCATTTCTGCCAAGCTAGCATCCGCAGATACTGGTATGTTGGATCGATAATTTATATGCCTGTGCATCGTCTGGCTATCCAAATTAGATATCGACTTATAGCCCTTGCTACCGTATGCGAGAAGAAGGTCGGTTATCAGAGGAAAACGAAGGACATTGACCATCCTGGTCGATTTCTTGATTATACTACCAAAAAATTATGCGTGGTCGTCTTTCGACGAGCCAGTAGTTTTTCGCTACTAGATGTTTCGCAAGCCAGTTACATATCGTATTTGGAAAGAACCGATACCGACCTACATGTACAGCGATCTAAGTTAGAGGTTCTCCTAGCTGTCGTGCGAAATGTAGCAGAAGTTCTCGAAAGATCACTGCCCAACCGCTCTCTTTCCTATGATCGGCTCGTTCGTTCGTGAAGGAGAGCTGAATGCACATAGGGTAGGGTTAATCGGACAGACATCGCCACATTGACTACAATCCCTGACGATAATATTGGGGCGGGGCATTGTCTGAATTTGGGTCAAAATGAAGAATGAGCGTTGTGTCATAACGTTTTCCTGCAAGTGAAAGGACAGACGAATGGATAATCAAGCTGAATTCAGAGCAATAAACAAAGAAACTGTTGGGTATTCCGCGTATTGGTGGTCCGGAAGTGATGGAAGAGTAGATCCTGCGAAGTCCGCTTTCTTATCTTATTTACAAAATTGTTGCTGTTCAGATATGTCACCTGGCAAGAACGAGAAGAGGTAATTCGTCCGCAGCGTTTAGCCATCTTTTGTAAAGGATGGGGCATCTAGTTTAAGTGCCAAAGTGCAAAATTTTAAAGTTTGATCATGCGAAAATGCAAATTGAAGCCATCACCTCCATGGTTGCAGAAATCGAAGTTACTTCCTCTCTTCATTCATGGACCATCAATTGCTGGACGTCATATCGACCCTCACTGCATATATGCTTACCATTTGATCCACCTTAGGATTCATTCTCAACAGGGGATAAACTTTCATTTCATGCATTGTCGACGGATTCATCTGGTCTTCATTAGAATTGTCTGCTTGGGTGAAAGATTTCTCAAGTATCAAGTAGCTCTGAGCCTGGTAGAATGATCTATGTACCACGTGACAAAACTTTATACGAGTAGCAGCTCACCGCGAGGGTCTGCGGCGGGGAAGGTTGATTTTTGTAGCAGTTCTCGAAGGTTCGTCGTCGCATGTAGATGGACACGGACCATAACAGTGATAGTCAAGTTGTTTCCGACAACGTGCATCGCTACCCTTTCTTGAGTACATATCAGTAACAAGTATAAAAGGGATCCTCCAGAACTTCCGCAACACCGATGAACAGGAATTTTGTACTGTTCTCGGATTATTAAAACCAGCCATAATATCTGCATACGATGGTGTGACTGCTGACCCATGGTCCTTTTGCCTATTTCACACCTATTCGCAACCTCATTTACGGCGTTCGTATTTCCTTTAGCCGCATGTCCAGAGCGAAAATCGTTGATACTGATGCGAAGATACATACGTCATCGGATCAAGCATTAAATATGCTCTTCTCCATTATAAATCGAATAATTATATAAGGTACCATGGAGCCAGAAAATGGAGAATTAGAAAGCAACGTCATCCTGAACCGAATTCCTTTCGCATCAAATCACATTTGCAAAGCGTCTTATTGCACCATGACGGAACATGGTGGAATTCAGTCATGCTCCGTCTTGGATACTTATGGAAATAAAGTCTCATTTAATTCATCAGCCAGCAATGACATGCACCAATATCTTGACAGTAACAGGCACCACCTCCTCAAATGCGCAATGATACACGGAACTAATTGCTAAACTTTATTTCCAAAGTAAGATTTCAAGACAGACTTTAAAACTGTCTGAAGGTTGATGATTATGTACGTTTTAAGTTTGTATCATAAAGAGTAAAAAAACAAAATTTACTATAAAACAAAGGACTGGTCATTGTAACACCATGAATTTGCATAGACACTTGCGTAGCGAAAACAGTATTGCATGTTGTCACGGGTTCAGATACAGACGGAGCTGAAATAGCGTTTGCCCTCTGAGGCTATTCCGCATACGTAGAGTGAAGTACTTTGCGGAGACGTGGCTGGCCG